TTTCTTCGATGTGGGATATTGACTCTTCACACTCACAAGGGAACATACTACTTCAACACACCATAATTTGTTTGTGTATAGATTTTTGTACTCTTAGAGATGCCGGAAAATTATGTGCGGTGATGAGCTTTTATAGAAGACATTCAGTTTTTTTTCTTTCTTTCTTTGCCCAACGTAGACGGCATTCAGTTTAAATGGAGCAGTATAGAAGTTTTTGTCCCTTTTTCAAAATTCATTTTTTCAAAACCACTAATCTTATGTCTTCGTAAATAATACAGGCAAAACATGTATAGAATACCAACTAATATATTACATGGTAAGGACACTAACGAGATTCATATATTTTACATACATAAATTCAATTATAATTATATATGTTAGATGGGAGCTGTTATTTTCAGTTTCCTATTAAAATTAAAATTAAAATGAAAGTAACTCTCTAAGCAAATTTTATGTACGCAAATGTAAACTGAATAAAGAAAATTCAAGTTGCATAGAATCAAGGGCATGCTTTGCATGTCTTGATTCTAGCCATATGCCATTTACACATTCACCTACACATTCACCTGAAAATACGTTGAAGTTCAAAAAAAAAAAAACTAAGATGTAAGTTAATACCCAGTAATGTCAACAACTAAAGCACGCCATTAGTAATCTCTCATTTCAGTGAGAGTAAGTGGTTCTCGATTTGAGTGGTGACCATGCAATTGAGATATAAATGATAGGATGAGAGATATTAATTTGTCCTTATGCAATAAAAATAGACCTGGTAAAATTGGATCCAATTTGAAAATCTGACCCAAGTCATTTGCTATGGGTAGGGTAATGAGTATTATATGTTAATCCGAAATCCGAAATAATCTGAACTAATATTACTCGAAACCCAAATGGGTTGGGTCATGGGTAGGTCTGGTCACTCGAAATGACCCAAACCCTTATTTATTTATTTTTTAAGAAATCACTTAAAAATTAATTTTTAATTTTTAATTTCTTAATCCTAAAAGTATAAATAAATCAAACACCCAAATCCTAGGCTCCTGTTAGTCTCACTTTCTCTCAACTTTTCCTCTTCTCTACTCTTCCCCTCCCCTTCTTCATCTCAAGCTCTCTGATTCTTCTCTTTGGTGGCATTTGTGTCAAAAATCAAATTAGGTAACATATAGTGAGCTATGTCATGCGGCACCATAAAAAAAAAAAATTTTATAGGGTAAATTATATGAATAGTCACTCACTTTTCTCATAACTTTCAACCTAATCACTTTCCTTTTAAGTTTGAAAATTTAGTCACCTAAGTGTCATATGTATTGCTGTCGTTGGTCACTAGCAGTTAACTCACCGTTAGTTAACAATTTTCATTAATTTCAATTAATGACATAGCATCAACTGGGAAATTATGATTACATGGTGCCTAATTATAATTTAACAAATTCAAGTTTACCCAAAAAAAAAAAAAAAACTCTTAGGCGGCCAAAATAAATTTATATAAGGAAACAAACATGAAATTGGGCTATTTACTTGAACCATGGTCTGCAAAAACATAAAAAGTTCCCAACCCATAGAATAAACAATTTAAGTTTCAAAACAGAAAAAAAGAAAAAGAAAAAGTATAGGGTATTCTTCTCCTCTAAATTCTGGCAAATTATCCTGTCGTTTAATTATTATTATTTTTTATACCTCTTTTATCTCATAATAATTATATTTCTAATTTAAAATTTGTCTTAAAATAATAGTCACTTTTTATTTTTTATAATTTCTTGACTTTAATTAAATATCTATCTTATTATGAAAATGTCTTTTCTTATTTTTACGTTAATATGGATAAAACTATAAATTATTCTTAATTTCTTAACTGAAAGATGAAATAGAAATGTTTATCATTTTGAGATAAGGGGAATATGGATTTGGCGTTAATTACCTAAAAGTCTTTTGTGCACACTTATAAAATTTATAATTTATGTTGTCAACAGTGTAATTATTTTTTTTTTTACCCATACCATTTCACCAGTTAAAATTTTTTTTTGAACAGAAAATAATTTTATTGAGAATAATGAGTACAAGGGTACTCAAACCCATAACAATCACCAACTCCTACTTTACATACCAAAATCAAAGCAATGACCCCCTAATAATGTATCTTTTCACTCACTACATCAAGTTTTGAAACATGCTACTGAATCAATTAACCAATCAGATAAAGTAACAGTAGCCCAATCTTTTTTTGCTTTAATCCACCAGAAAGATCTCATTTGGATAAATTCTACGAGAGTAACGGGATTTACCTCTTTGTTGTGGAAGATTTTCTGGTTTCTAGCAATCCAAATGGACCAAACGGCTGTTTTCCAGATGCTATCCAAGCCTTCTCTGATTTTTGTTCCTTTGGTATACCTCCCGATGAATTGAAAAGTGTTCCAGCAGTCTCTGTGCACTGTCATCTTTGATCCCCACCAGTTAAAATTGACAGAATTGTTAACTAACTATGAGTGATTAACGGTAGCAACTTAAATAAAAGTAAGGTGACTAAATTTACAAATTTAAATGGAAAATGACTAAGTTGAAAGTTATGATAAAGGTGAGTGACCATCTATGTAGTTTACCCTTTTTATAATAGGAAGTAAAAATGCCTACTGAAAATCACAACCCAGTGTTTGAGGTACCCTCATTACTATTAGAAGCACAAAAACAAGAATATCAAGGTTAGTTCTTAGTTGTTAGTTGTTAATTTGTTCTTAGTTAATAATTTGTTTCTAATTAATAAAATTAATTCAATTCTAGTTTTTTTTTTGTATTTGTTTAAACATATTTTGGATTTGTCTTTTGAATTATAATATTAAATAGAGCCATATTTTTTGTATAATGTCCCTCTAAATATTGAATATAATTGTATTTTTTTGTATAATATACCCTTATAAATATTGAATAGGCACTAGATATTAATATCAATGTTGGATTTTAATCTTTTATATCTTTTCTTTTAATGAAAGTTAATACCTTCATAAAATCATGAATTTTAAATATTGTATAGACATTATATATTTGACATATATTTTAGTTCCACCTGTGTAAGCAATAATCTTTCCCTTTTCTTTTCATGAGATTGGAATGAAATACAAATCAGTGTTTAATAGAGTTTTCTAACTAAATAATTAATTAGTATTAGACTTTAAAAAAAAAATAGAAAAAAATATAGAAAATTTTTATTTTTAATTTTAATTTTTAAAAATTTGGGTCCACATGACCCAATCCAAAACCTGTGTGAGTGGGTCATGAGCGTACTCTCTTAACTCGACACTCGAAATGACTTAATCCAAAAAATTCAAGATCCGAGATGACTCAATCCAAACCCAGTCAATCCAACCTGTTTGCCAGGTCTAAATAAAAAAAAAAAAAATCAGTATTCAATGATATCGTGATGCTTTGTTAGAAAAATAATCAAATATAAAAGTAAGTATACAGTGATAATACAATTATAACTCCTATGGTTTAACCCATATATTGTCCTGTTTTGCTGTCATTCTTTATCCTTTCAGCATAAATGGGAAAACGGTTTGTTCAGACTTGGCCTAATTAGGAGAAAAGAAACAATCATATCAAACTTACTGTGGGATGGGCCTTCTTATGGGGGGGTAATTGAAATCACACCAAAATGTAAACTAAATAAAGAAAAGTCACATAATTTTCAAAAGCTGTTTTTTAATTGGCCACTAGTGGGAGAAAGTTTTTTTTTTTTGAACAGCGAAAATGATATTTATTAATAAAACGAAATACAAGAGGTACTCCAAACCCATGAAAATCAAAAATATAATACAACGTGTCGACACCTAAAAAAGTGTCGACACTATGTCCGTAACAAGGATTCTGCCATCTTTTGCCATCTTTTGCCTTTACGTCATATCTCCCTGTATAGATCAACAAACTCTCACTCGTTCAACCCCATCAGACCCACGAGACATTGATCATGCATTGACTATGGTTGAAACTACTACAGTCAATAATTGCTCAATAAACCTTTGTGAGCCCCCATTATACAGCAATTCATACCTCCAAAGCAAAAACCATAGACTACAACTCCCAGACATCAACAAACCCTCCCTCCTATAGATATTCATTAGGTACCCTTCTTTTCCTACGGCAATCTTTCAAGCATGCAACTGGATTAAGAAACCAGTCCGTTAAAGTGAAGGCATACCTTTCTTTTTTTGTTGTGAACCAGTAGAATGACTTTAATTGGATGAGCTCCAACATCTTCTCCCGGTTAATCTCTTTGCCTTGGAAAATTTTTTGATTACAGGCTAGCCACACTGTCCACACTAGAGAACTCTAGATACAATCCCATCCATCTCTAATACATTTCTCTTTTTGTTCTCTTTCAGGATTTCGGAAGGTGTTCCAGCAGTCCTCTTCCAATGTAACTTTAATACCCCACCACTTTGCACAAGCCATCCATAACCATCGGACCATGTTACATCTCAAGAACAAATGCTTTGTGTCCTCATCTTCCTCACCACATATTCCGCACTTGCATTCTCCAATGTCCTTGATGATTCCTCTT